CCAAATCGGCGCAGCAGAAATAGAGAGTCTATCCCCTGAATCAACCTGCGCCTTACTGAAGCAATCGCTTTTGGTCCGGTTTAACCCCCTACCCGCCACAGGAGGACACGCCACGTAGCCTTGCGAGTAATTGGCTCGAGATCCCTCATATGAGGGATCCGTGGTATAACGTGATAGAAAGTTTTATTGTCAATAAAAACAGTAACTATATCTTTGCACACTCACGGAGAGGAAAATTGTTGGAAAAAATTGTGAAAGAAGTACTGGAAGAGAGCAGAATAAGTCATAAATTACTGAAAAAGGTCCATATGGAATAGAAGGTATTGGTATGGAGAACATTAATAGATTGTAGACGAGCAAACACTCATTAAGGAAAGGAAAAAAGGGATTCGGCTTCTACATCGCCCTTGAGCGGTCGGCTACTTTTACATTCCTACTTTCGTTTCTGATTTCGGTTTTAACATCTCTCCGAATCGGAAGACCGAGCGGAGGATTCGTCGCCGAAAACACACCTCCCTGCGATCCACATCGTGGTGAAAACCTGGATACACTCTTGCAAGCTTACGTTAGGACTCCAGGGAGGACCAAGTTGCACGACCAGCAATGGGCTAGCCTCAGTACCCGTACACTGGGTGCTCCCGTCTATGACGTTAGGCGGTGAGACGAGCGGTGAGAGGCCAGAACTGGGGTTACGCAGAACGTCATTGGAACCGGATCTGACGAACACACGCACTACACGCTATGGAGATGATTTCTTACTATGCACGTATAATGCCAGAACACTGACGCCGATCTTCACGCCCTTCTTGTAGCCGCAGATTGCATTAAATTCCATGTGATCGCATTACAAGAAACAAAAATCAAGAAGACCGACATATGCCAACTAAACAACGGGACCCTTGTGATCTCTGGAGAAAATGTCCCGTCATGAAGTGTCGGTGGCGTAGGCTTTGTCGGCCACCCGTCCATTGTCCATCTCGTCGACTCATACGTGATTCTTTCCCCTCGCATAGCCGTCCTCCATCTTCAACTGTTTCATCGTAAGAAGATCACTATCATCAACTGCTACTCACTGACCGACGTAGCTGATGAGAACGAATTAAATGCGTTCTACTATCAGTTGGAGGAAGTCATCTGCAATGATAAAGCATATCATAGATTTGTTGTTGGAGACTTCAACGTCAGAATAGGAAAGGCCAACGAGAGCGAATACATGATTAGGAGAAATAAATGAGAATGGGAACAGTCTCGCAGGACTCCTGTCAGCAGCACATCTCTTTCATGGAAACTCGTTTTCCCAGAAGAAAGAAAGCCGCCACTGGACATGGGAGTCTCCCAACGGCATGACTCCTGCGGAGATCGACCTTAACCTGACAAATAGAAGATGGTGTCAAGTTGACACATCGGTAGTCCCGCCATTCTGTACTGGTTCCGATCACCGTCTTCTTTGCGCAAAGATTCGATTCAGCCGCAAGCTGGAAAAGAACTCTCTTCATCGACCACGAGGAAAAAGTCTAGCTGTACAGACGAGAACATTCTGAGCGAAGTGCTGTCCAAACGTGACTGGCAGGTTAAAGAAGACCCGACCGAAGACTACGAGCTGCTTATAAAAGGACTGAAAAGTTGTGCCGAGTTAGCTTCAGTTCCTCAAGCAAGAAGATCGGATCGCATCTCCATCACTACTAAGGAGTTGCTCGAAAAGAGAAGGAAACCCTACTGCAACACGTTTAACATGGCTAGTAATAAATGCCAGCTGAAGAAGAGCTTTGCAGGAAAATCTACCACGGTACAAGCAGAAGAAAATACTTGAAGCCGCAGAGAAAAGAAGCAGTTTGAATAAATGCCGTCGGGAATTGTGTGATTATAATGTTCCGCTGTCAACCCTGATGAACGAAGATGGGATCATCAAAAACTCCCGCCATGATATGGAATTAATAGCGGAAACGTTCTACACCAACCTTTTCCGTTCCACAGTCCCCGTCTCAGCCCCTAATATAACCGCAGGAGAAAAACCACCTGGAATTCTTTCGTCGGAGGTTCGAGTTGTGGTAGAAAGCATGAAAAGAGGCACAGCTCCAGGAAGGACCCGATGAATATCACTGCCGATTTCCTTAGAGCTGGAGGCCACAATTTACATGTAATTCTCGCAGATCATATGACAGGCTACCTTCGAAAGGAAAAAATCCGGGGCCAGTGGAGACGACGGGCATGGTTATCCTACCCAAGAAAGGAGACCGAAGGAATCTTCGTAATAATCATCCCATATGCTTGTTAAGTGTACTCTACAAGCTCTTCACGAAGATTATCCTCTCGCGCATATCCAGGGCACTGGATGAGGCTCAACCAGTCGAGCAAGCAGGATTTCGAAAAGGATTTTGCTGCATGGACCACATCCAAACCGTGTCCAGGGTCATCGAAGTTTGACGGGAATACCACTTGCCTCTAGTCCAAACCTTTGTCGACTATGAGAAAGCGTTTGATAATGTCGAAATGAATACAATCCTATCAGCGCTCGTTGACCAAGGAGTGGACCCTTCCTACATAAGGACTCTGTCCCACTGTTATCGGAACTGCACTACAAAAATACAGCTTTTCCATCGACCTCTTACAATAACCATAGGGAAAGGGGTTCGACAGGGCGACACAATACTGCCAAAGCTGTTCAGTGCCGCACTGCAGTGGATAATGAAGTAACTCGGATGGGGATGAGAAAGGTATACGTTTTGATGGAAATTTCCTACCAAACCTTCGTTTTGCAGACGACATTGTCATCTTCTAAAAAAGTACTAGTGAAGTAGAGGTGGTGATCAACGAGCTCAACGAAGCGGGGAAAAAGATCGGACTTCGCATAAATCGAAAGAAGACCCAGTTCATGAAAAACCCATGGTGCGAAGGCAAAAAAATTAAATTGGATGGCTCTCCCATTGCAGAGACCACCTTGTACGTTTACCTTGGGCGATCGATGAACATGGAAAACAACATGAACGAGGAACTAGATAGAAGAAGGAGAGCAGCTTGGGCCGCATTCGGGCCTCTCAAAGAAGTCACCGACCAACTGAAGGGTATGGAACTCGCAAGCGTTGCCATGTTCGAACAAGACCATCACCATGGACTATGATTGCGAGAGAAAGGAACGAATGGCATATGTGCTGAGGTCCGTACAGCTCGTGAAGACGGACCGCCAAAGTATCCAAGTAAATAAGTATTCTTCGGCATAGGTGCGGGTTTCTGCTGTTGCATAAACCTCCCGTTGTATTTTGTCCTACGCTACCCAAATAAGTACAATAAGTAGAGAAACCATCGGAATCTGGGGTGTTTGCAACTCAAGGGAGTTAATCCGAGACTTCACGGAGACGCAAACCAAGAAAAGCTTCGAACTGTATCCACGAAATACTAATACGAAGTGTGGATGGTCATGGATTATCTTCTTCATTGAAGAAAAATTCCACAGTGAACAAAGGAATTAAAAGATATTTAAAAATACTAAGGGCAGTTGTTGATTTGGGCTCTCCAGATCAATCCCGCTGACAGGTGATTGCTGATGGCAGAGATCGATAGAATTAGCTGAGGAACAAGCGAAACGAAAAACCCGCATGGTGTGGTGGTGAACGCGTTACTCCCCGGAAAGAACAATAGCGCGTTCGTTCCGCACTGCAGACACCTGCGGTCCGGAGTTTTGCAAATATCTCAGCATTATGGATGAGTTATATTTCGCAACATACTCTGCCATTAAAAAGAAAAAGGCAGTAAATAAAAGGGTTAAGACTGAAGTTATATTTCGAAATATACCATGCCATTGAGAAAAACATGCAGTAGACAAAACGGTTAAGACTACGGGCAGTAACTAATAACAAATGTATACTTGTATGAATATGAGGGGTTCGGGAACTGGCAACTTCTCCTCTTTCAAACCAACAATTCGATATTCAATCGGCGCTCGAATGTCCACTCGAATGTGACAATGTCGTGCCAACGAACGATGGATGGCGGATGCCGCCCAGGGCGACACAGTCTGAAACGAAACAGGAAAAATTCAACCTTTTTTCTTAAAAAATAAAGCTTAAGCCACATCGTTTATAAATGAGATCGATTTTTTTTCCAGAGAAACTGCTCTAAACGAGCCATCTTTCACCTCTACTGTGCTGAACGCAGATAGTGAATTTTCCTATTTTTTTTTTCGAATTTTCCTAAGTGAAAGCTTACTACAGAACTTTCCATTGTGTTCTAAGGTTCGGCGTCAGGTGCATTCTTCAAGGCTGTGATGGTTCGTGTCAAATGTTAACAGGAATTCCACCGCTAGCCCAGTGGTAGTGACTCCGTTGAACTTGAGCACGACGTCGCCCATGGCCAACCAAGCCACATCCGCTAGCAACTGCCGATTGTGTGCGATAAAGACCCGGGAACGTCATCGCAAAGCTATCTCAGGTTTTCAGGGCGAATTTACCCAACAAGCATTCAATAATGCTCATAAATAAGACCAAAAATCCACAGGCAATAGCCGAACCCACACACAAAACTCCGAAGGCGTTCATGGATAGGCTCACGTGCCACTCACCACACCAACCTTGGTCCTTGCTTAGCCTTTCTTTCAGCCAGTTTTTTTCCACTCTAACGATTCTATCAGCAATCATCCGTCAACCGGAATGATCAGGGGAACATAAACTAGCATTGAACCCAGATAATCTGGAGGTGCAGTCGAAATCGCAATTTCTTAACCTTTATTTACTGCCTATTCTTTTTTGCTCATTCCTCTTCCTGCCTTTCTCCCCAGATAATTCCCGCTGACGGGTGTTTACCGATAGCACTGTAAGCGTACATAAGAGAAAGGCAAGACAAGGGCCTCAACTAGTGTGATAGAGAGCACCCGGCAAGAGTTCTAAGCTCTTGCTCATATCAAATCATCTTTGTAGTCGTATTTCATATAGTATCCTACCGTAAGAAAAATAGGTAGTAAATTATAGTTAAGACACTCCAACTTCACTGAAGTGCAAAAACGTGGTATGCGAGAGGGACGAAAGCTGATAAGGTTGAAAAACATAAGACTATCAGTTAGTGATAAGGGTGGAGACTTTGTCGTAATTCCCCATCAGCTAGATGTTGAGATAACGAAAGAGCATCTTGAAGATGCTTCGCTTTATCGTACATCATCTGAGAGAGAGTTCAAAAGTAGATGCCGAAAATTGAACCATGAATGGGTCAAAATGGCAAGGGCTTCTGGTTTAAAACCATCAGTTATGTTTCAACTAAAAGTTGACTTACCAACGTGCTCCGTCTTGTACTTGCTTATAAAAACTCATAAGTTGGTATCCAGCAATGATCTTGTGTCTACCGATCCATCGCTACTTAAGGTCAGACCAATCATTAGCTGTGCAGACGGGCCAACGGATAGGATAACGTGGTTTTTAAACCCAATACTTAACCAGTTGTTGAAACACATTCCAGCCCATCTTACGAATACACAGAAGTTTCTGGATCGTCTACGTACTGCGCAGCCTAGCAGCGCGTACGTGATGGAGTCCTTCGACGCTATCGCCCTTTATGCAAACGTGTCGAATGACTCCGCAATGCAAGCCATATTCGAACTCCTTATAAAACACGAAAGAGAAATAAACATGTATGGCTTCAAGACAGAGCAGTTTGTGGCACTCTTAAAAGAATGCTTGAACTGCACAATCTTCAGATGGTCCGGAAAGTACTAAGCTCAAATAAGAGGGTTGGCAATGGGACAACGACTGGCACCAAGTCTTGCCATTGCGTCTATGTCTAAGGTGGAAGCACTGGTGACTGATCTCGGGCCGCTGACTCTACTGTAGATATATAGATGATTGTTTGTCCTTGAACTGCACAATCTTCAGATGGTCCGGAAAGTACTAAGCTCAAATAAGAGGGTTGGCAATGGGACAACGACTGGCACCAAGTCTTGCCATTGCGTCTATGTCTAAGGTGGAAGCACCGGTGACTGATCTCGGGCCGCTGACTCTACTGTAGATATATAGATGATTGTTTGTCCTTTGCTCAACAGAAGAGGAAATGGACAAATGTTGCGAGTTGTTGAATAAACGGCCAGAGTATATTAAGTTCACCCGAGAGAAACCGAAAGAAAAATGGCTTCCATTCCTGAATGTTCAAATTAACCAGCCAGAAAATGGCTACGTTACGAAGTGGCACCGAAATCCAAGTAGTAAAAACATCTTAGTACATTACCTCTCTTCTCACCCTCTCTCACACGAAAAAGACGCTTATAAGAACCATGTTTCGAACAGCAACCAACGTGTGCACGGGGACAGAGCAGAAAGAGGAGTCCAGGAACTTGGCGCGTCAAAAAGCCATTTCTAATGGCTACGAAACTGTAGCTCGGGATAGGTGTAGCGGAAATCCTAGGCCCCCAAACGATAGCTCTAGCGAAAAAAGGTCCCGTTTATACTTCCCTTCATTTCAAATAAAGCAAGTGTAGTTATAAAACGCTGTTTAAGAAGGGCTGGTCTAGAGAATTCGGTAACGATAATCGAAATACCACCGAGTAATCTAAGACGCCAGCTAGTTCGTAACCGCCTATTCGTCTATGTGCAACGCAAAATTGCATAATTTGCCCCAATGGTAGAGACGGTGACTGCATGAGTTTGGGTACAGTCTATCTGATCTCTTGTAAAGTGTGCCGGGACGAATACGTTGGTGAAACGACTCGACCACTCTGCTTACGTATAAAAGAACACCTAGTCGGCAAACGTAAACTAAATATCCCATTATGCACGCATAGGACTCAAAGACATAAAGGGGAGGACTTTGAAGTACGTGTCACGATCGTCGCACAGGAATCGAGAACACAAGCGCGCAAAACTCTCGAGGCATTCTGGATTAATTCCAGAAATCCGAAAATGAACCGCAGGGAAGAATGCCACATTATCACGTGTGATATTGGGCAGCATATAATACTGTTATACTAATGGTATGAGTACATTAGGCTTCCATGTGAATTCTGTGCGGTTGGTCTCCACTCTACATGCACAGTGGAAGACTCATAGAAAGCGGCAAGTGTGCAAAGAAGCCATTGTTTATTCAATGTGATTGAAATCTTGATTTAGCGCTTTCTCTGTTTGGCTATGGAGGTGTTTGGCCGAATAGATTGCTGCCAACTTGACCTTTCCAGGCCCTGAGGAAGGCGAAATCCGCCGAAACGTCAGCTTATTCGTGAATAAAAATAAAAATAACACCTCACGTTTGCTCAACAAGAATGCGAAGAATTACTTGATCAATGCTGAGGTTAACAGAAAGTCGGTTGTGAGAACTATGGTTAAGACAATCCCGACCATTCAACTTCATTAAATCCACCATCGAATTTTTCTTCCGGAAACTACCGTGAGAAAGGACGTTTAGTTTTTCACACGCAGTATTAATCATGCGCACATGGTCTGTTTTTACACGGTGTGCTAGCATATGATTCAACACCTTTTCTGCTTCTTGGACTCTGCAGTCCATTTTTTCTAGCTGTTTTCCCATATTATTCTAGAAAATTTCCCTCTTCCGTCTGCAGGCCATTACTATCACCCTCTAGTAATCGGTTTTCGCAACATTCCACACATTCCAGATGATAAGCGTGAATGATTTCACACGACTACATGATTCAAGAAATTCCAGTTACAAGTGAATCCCTAGAATTTTCACCACAGTAACTCCCACGACCGACTTTCTATTGACCTCGGCATTGATCAAGTAATTTTCAGTATTCTTGTTGAGCGTATGCTAAACAAGAATACGAAGAATTTCACCACAGTGTGGTGAAAATTCTCCTATTCCATCACAAATTCTGAATATTCGTTCCAAAGGGCGCGTGTGGTGCAGTGGTCGGAAACGCCCTGCAATACACAAGTGGAATCGATCCTGGCGTCCATGGCCCACCAAACCTTCCATCCCTCCAGGGTGGGCAAATTGGTACCACACTTGTCTGGGTGGACAGCAGCACTGATTCAATGCATCAATAGGCAACCGCAAGTCATTGTAAAGGCCATATACGCATTCAATCATCTCCAAACGATGCTTAATAAAGAATGCATGGCGCACTCCTCAGGGATTAATCAACGCCGAGAGCTTTATCCTTTTATCATTTTATTTATTCCAAACAGTGAACATTTGACTCCCATCTTGTAAAATTATCATTCTACCTTCCTTCCTCCATCGCTATCTTCTAAGAAATCACTGCTTTTGGCCTCAGCTAGTTCAATATTATCACAACTGACGTTAAACGTACCTCACCAAAATGAACATCATGTTCGGCAGACCATTCATCGAAAGTGAATAAGAAGATACTAACGATAACGGAAAACGTGATTGTCGAAGAAGATCTAAGGATCTAGAGAAACTGAGTTCAACGATGAGATCAAAGTTCAGGAGAAAGACGAATGCTCAGAGAGGGTTAGTGCTTCACATCGAAATGACCGTCAACGACACTCAGTGTGAAGTGAATCAACAGCTTCCGATTGGACGCAGAGGCGACAATACACCATTGTTATTTTTATAACTGACATTTGGGATATGGAAGATCATGGCACAACGGCTAGCTAATGGTTTGATCCGGAGAAGGACGCGTTCGACTGTCGTCTGCAGAGAGAAGTGAAAGGTTCTCGGAAGCAAGTAATGAAAATGAGCCTGGTGGCACACCACAGTCGCAGCGCTGTAGTGATCAGTGCCCAGAAACTGTCGATGTAAACAATGGAAAGTGAAATTCCGAACTGTTTATTGTAAATTATGAGGTGAATTTTTGGCACTACTCTCACATCATCAGTGGAACGATGATAAAATAAGAATCTATAATGTTTCTAGGGATGAAATGCGTACAAATAGATTGATAAAGGAGTACTTTGTGAATGGCTATCGCTTTTGCAATACATGAATTTGTGACGCCCAGTATACCCACTAAAATTTCATCCACATCACGTCTGCTTGAAGGCTTACCATCTCATCATGACGAGAAGATGTTCCTCCGGTTTTGAACTTCAATCCTTACACCACTAGATCAGATGCAGCTTCACAGCTACGGTATGCACTATCCCTCGTATGGTATCCGCACACTAATTAAGGAATTCCTTGGATTTTAAGGAGTGGAACAAATCTACCTTAATCACTGCTTAGCTTATCTCCCTCCATAAGAGGAACAATGGAAAGGGGGCCACCGACCGAACACAAAGCATTTCGCAGGAAAAACCTCTGCGATAAAGGAAACAACCGGGAATTGTGTAAGTCAAATGTATCTTGGTCCCGGGTGGCCCTTCCGGCGTGCATCGCATATTGTCTCATTCGCCCATACACATGTTGAAGTATAAAAGAAGCTTCAACTAATAAATACTTCTCATTGAAAACAAATCCACTCTAACTGCACACGACGTTAGCAGTTCCCTCTACGTCATCTTTAAAAAATAAAATTTCAACTCTTGCAATAGTTTTTTTTGTAAAGTCGTTGAAGAGGAAAGTGCGGGCTCACCGTCAACATTATGGCGTCGCGAATATTCCCAATCGACGCAGCTTTTTCGAAGATTATGGTGAGCACATCGATGTCGAGGGTTATAGGAGCCTGAGAGCACGAGGGCGTGCTCACTGATAGATCGCTGAACAAACTCGAATCCCTATCATTGAGCTTTTAAGCTTGAGTAAAATATTAAGTATGTAGCGCAGTGGTTAAAAAGATGCCCTTCAGTACCCACGTGGTCAGGTTCGACCACGCACCGTGGGCTAAGAAGGCTCCCATTTCTCCAACATGGTCAAAATACTACCAGGTTTGCTTGGAGGAATAAAAAAACCTTGTGCTGAAACGACAGTAGGCCTCAAGACGTCACTGTATAGGCCAAATATGGGCCCAACCACTTCTTCACTGTGAACGTCGGCCACCTCAGTTCGCTATCTGATTTTACTACTCGGTCAATTGATCCAATCTCCAATATACACTATTTCGTAACTAACTAGAAACTTTCCGTTGAGTTACAAGCGGTATGAATCTCTTCTCTAAACCGTTGGATAACTTGAACAGAGGTTTAAAATCCTTAATAAACAAGACATATAAGAGGACAACGGATAAAGTTCTCGGCGTTGATCAATCCCTGAGGAACGTACCACGCACTCATCGTTGGAAGTGATTAAATGCATACCTGGCCTTTACAATGGCTCGCGGTGGCCTACTGATGTATCGAACCAGTGCTGCTATCCTCCCAGACAAGTCTGGTACCAATTTGCTGACCCCCGGAGGGATAGAAGGCTTGATGGGCCGTGGGTGCGGAAATCGATCCCACTTGTGTGGTGCAGGGAGCCCCCGACCACTGCGCCACACGTGTCATTCGACAAGACATGTAACGTTTTGAAATATACTGGAAACATACGCTTCAGATTGTTCAGAAGATTTCGACATTCGAAGTTTCTTTTCCCTTGTAGACAATACTGAAATAATAAATTTCACTGCACTGAAGAAATTATTAATGTTACGAGAGTTTTTAAACTTTCTCTATAGTGGTAAATGGTAAACACTGAACAGAAGTATGCTGCAAAGAGATAAAATAGAAGAACAGTGAAGGACACGTCCTCAAAGGGTACGGTAAATTTTTAAAGGTTCTAACAGATGAAAACGACAAGATTGAGAAGGAGTAATTTATCACGAAGTTTTCTGAAAATGGTAAATTCGATGTTCGGAAAAATTTATTTAAAACAAAACCCGAAGGGAATCACATTACATCGGCATCGCTATCAGATATCGACGGTATACGTTGTTGATAATTTGAGACACCAGGAGACAAAATAAGAAGGACAAGACCAAGAATCACTCATCATCAGCAACGTTTCCCATAAAAAACTGCACTATTACGAGTTCCCGTCTGGGCGAAGGGACTGTTTACAGGATGATGAACAATAACAAAGTACGCTGAAAATAGCGCGGGCATGCCAGGCGGGGGCGGACAATGGAAATGAAATGCAAACTCATCGCCGACCGCAGTGTTTACCCAGCTGTGATGATCAGTTACCAGCGCGCAAGTAACTCGTGCTACTGTCGGCTGACTTGGTCACACCTCAGACCTACGTCTAAATGGAGAGCACGAGATATCACTGGAAGGAACGTCTTTGTGAAAGAAACAGCAATCGGATGGTCAGCACAAAAGCATTTGGATAGTGCTCCATGTAGCGCTCAGCGTTGAGAAATCTTCGAGATCAGAGTTCTTTCGCTAACCTATCGCTCTCAACTGCACCGCAGGTCAGATTGCGTGGTCAGCCATGACCTCAGAACGTAGCACCTAACTTAAGGAATGACCCGGAAAAATTCACATGGTTCAGTTTAGCGAACAGTTGTAGAAACAGCAGATTGTTTACAAGTCTGCAAAACTTCATGAGCATCTGTAAAGTTTCACACAGCGCAATAAAGTTCAACAAAATTTTTCCTCAATTTTACGAAGATGTCTAAAATTATTATTTTGAAAACTGTACGTTGCAGAGCTAAAAGGTTAAAGAGCTTCGAACACTACAGGAATACGGGAGATTTTTTAGAAATACCAGCACAGACGACTAAAACCTGCTGGAATTAAACAACAAAGGAAGTACTACACAAAAAAACTGAAAAAAGCAAACCTGTCACTAAATCACCTGTAGTCCAGTTGATCGTCAAGAGACTCGATCGAGTGCCAGTAAATCTTCCATTTTTCCTTGTCACGTGCAAGAGTAACCCAGTGGGCTCTGCTTGCTCTAGGGACTCGTCGAGCATCATATCTTTCTTCTACGCTCTTTGTAAAGAACTCTGACCATCGGGTCGGAGGTCTTCCTGCAGTACGTTTGGCATCCCGAGTAATCCAGTCACTAACGGCTCATGCCCATCGGTTGTCATTCATACGCATTACGTGTCCGGCCCACCTTATCTTCGACTACTTCGCGTACAGAACGGCATCTTTGATTTTTGATCGTTGACGCAGGTCGAAGCATCGGATCCCATCTCTTACTTGTGTGAAACAGGATACTCCTAGCATCGTCCTTTCGACTGCGCGTTCGATAACGCTGAGTGACTTTCATCCTGCTTATGCAGGCAACAGATTTCTGACGCATACATGGGGGCTGGAAGTACCGTTGAGTCGAAAAGGTGGGCACGGAGTCGGGTGTTCTTTGTTCTCTTCACTACATCCTCGATGCTCTTGACAGCTCCCCAAGCCAGTCGTTTCCTTCTGCTCAGCTCTGGAGCTAGGTCGTTCATAGTATTGATTTTCCGACATAGATATAACTGGAGCATTCGTAGATGTTCGTTCCGGTCAGCGTGGATGAGGCAAGCGAAACCAACCCGTTCCACATGAACATCGTTTTTATGAGATTTAGTCGAAGACCAATCTTTTCACAGGCTTTATCAAAGTCGGCAAGCATACGATCCGCTTGGGTAATGTTTGATGTTATAAGGACGATGCCATCAGCAAAGCGAAGATGGCGTAACTGCCCACCATCGATTTTCACTCCCATATTATCTCATTCCGATGTCCGCATGACGTTCTGGAGGGTGGCGGTAAGTGATTTTGGCGAGATGACATCGCCTTACCTAGCTCCTCTTTTCACGTCAATGTTAATATCGTTGTAGAATGGTGGTACCTTGGTTGTGAAATTTTGTACTGCTCACAAAGAATCTTTATGCACTGAGTAGGGACACCTTGACTATCAAGGGCTTCCAAGACTGCTTCTATCTTAGCTGAATCAAAGGCCTTCTGTAAATCGATGAAAGTGAGACAGAGCGGTCTTTTGTACTCTCGCGATACTTCAATGAGCCTTGTTACCGTGTGGATGTGGTCCATCGTACTAAATCCTTTTCGAAACCCTGCCAGCTCACATGACTGTCCTTGGTCTATTGTTCTGTCAATCCTGTTTAGGATGACTCGAGTGAAAAGTTTGTAGACGACAGACAGTAAACAGATTGGGCGATAGTTGCCGATATCGTGTAGGTCACCTTTCTTGAACAATAACATGGTCTTGCATGTCTTCCACTGAGGAGGGACCTTAAACTCAGACAGGTAACGTGTGAAGAGCCGAGCCAGTGTGTTTAGGAAGACTGGCGGAAGGTGCTTCAGGTGTTCTGGTCTTATCCTATCTGGACCTGATGCTGTTCGATTTTTCACCGACGAAATGGCATGTCGGATTTCGGAAGGGAGAATCGGTGGTACAACATATCCATCCTCCTTTATTTCATATCACGGAAGGTGGACGTGGCTATCGAAGAGATCCGAGTAGTATTCGTGAATGATTTTCTCCATTGCCTTTCTGGACGCTGTAACTGTTCCGTCTGGGCGTCGGATTTTGGTCTTGTAATTGGCGAAGCTTCGGTGGGCTTCGCGAATGCTTTTCCCAGCTTCTGCAGCTTCAACCAACACTGCTGTTCTTCTCTTTAAGATGTTCTTTTATCGCCGGTCTGCATTGTTTTGCAGGTACGGACATTAGTTCGCGGCTGCCTGCAGCTTGTGCGATTCCACGCTGGCGTATCAGCTCAGTGTTTCTGGAGACAAACAGATCTTGGAGACTTTCGAACTCTCAGTTTTCATAGCGCTAACGTGAAGATGATGAATGAGCCGATTGTATTCTTCGTAGATGTTATCGACAACGGTATCTTCCCAACAGCCGACTATTGAGTTGAATAAGGCCCAGTTTATAGTGGTTCTGGAACTTCGGTTTTTGAGTTTAGCTGCTTTTTCTCCTTTCAGCGAGAAATAGAATCTTGCACGAAGGAGACGATGGTCTGATCCCCTGTAGAATTTTGGGACAACAGCGACATAGGCTAGGCAAAACCTTCCATTTACCATGATGTGGTGTCTATTTCGTTTTGGTACACTCCATTGAAAGACTCCCACGTCCAGCGCTGAGGGTGGGGCTTCTGGAATTGTGAGTTACCATGGATGGTCTTGGTCGCCATGATCAACTCAGACAGCTGCTCACGCTGTTCGTTCCATTCTAATCTGTGGATCCCAATGTGACGTTCTTCTTGGTCCAATCTTGGCGTTGAAATTTAAATTTCCATATAGAACGCTTCGACTTTATCTTCGTCATAGTTTGATGTCGGCGCGTAAACGACCAAGGTTGTCAATAGCCGGAATTGATCCACGTCTTTTTAATCGTAAACGTCCGATTCGGGTTGTAAGTTGTTCGAATGAATCGATGTTCATGGACAATCTCGTGTTGACGGGAACGCCGACGCCGCCGACTCCTCTACTGTCGCAGGTTCCGAGAAACAGTTCTTCTCCGGTGTCATAGACGGCGTTGAAAGACTGGCGTCTTCTTGTCTCGGCCAGGTCGATGACGTCATCTTTTATCCTTCTTGCTTGCATGAGCAAGTCTTCTATCGAGGACTCGGATGCAAGTTTACGTACATTGTAGGTACAGATCGTTACCTTAGTTCTTTGTAATCCAGGCAGATTCCATTGGCCCTGAGATTTTAGCTGCCTCTCCGTACCCATCCTACCCAAAGCTGCCAAATTGGGGGCTCTTTCGGGGTCAGGGGAATGAGGACCGTTTTTTTACTGTGTTTAGCATTTTTGATACCCACGTATAGCTTGCTGGGCTCTGAACGTGGTTGCTGGGTATACTTACGGGTAGTTTGCAGGCACTCCCAGAGTGGACATGAGCTTATTTGTTTGAGGCGACTCCTAACCGCCTTCCATATACTTACTTCCCTGTCACTTGATTGCAGGCTTTTGGCCGAATTGCCCCGTAGAATACAATCTGTATAAGCAAGAATGCACCCACACACGCATGCATGAATACGCCTAGCAATACAAAAAGTACGTGCCAAATCAGCGCAGCAGAAAAAGGGAGTCCATCCCCTGGATCCACCTGCGTCTCAGGGAAGCAAAGGTCGCTTTTGGTCCACGATGAACCCCCTATACGCCATCTGAGGACGCACCACATAGCTTCGCGACTAACCGGCTCGAGATCCCTCATATGAGGGAGATCCGTGGTCAAAAAACCAAAAACTTCAAAAAATACTTCCAAGTGATATTGCTTAATAACAGGGATTAAACGGCAGAGTACAAACCTCAAAACTGATTCATCGACAATTCTCCCTGGAGTCCTGAGATAGACGGGTTAGAGCGTTCCCAACTAGATTGCAGAAAGTGATGTTTTCCCAGACAAGCCTGGTACCAATTTGCCGACTCCGGAGGGATGACAGGCTTGGTTAACCCGGGTGGAACCGAACTAGCACTATGGTATCCGCCCTCTATATACCACTATCCATGTACTAATTTACTTACTATTTTAAAATTGAGACTGAACTTGAACGTCAAGACCGATGTTATCCTTTAGTAGAACAGGAAAATACGAGCAGTGAGCAACCATAACTGTAATCGCCCATTTTGTTTCTTCAAAAAAAAAGTCCCGCTTTTTTTACAACAACTAAACGCAAGCAATTTGTCTGCATAGCACAAAAATGATTTCTTCACCGTCTGAGGCTCAGAAATGAATGGATACAAGCCGGCTCTTGACTTAGATGTTTAAGATCATAATTCCTACCAGAAGTTAAGTTTAAATGAATAACTCAAACTAAGAAGTTCGACACAAGCAAATATCACACCAGAACTGCTCTAAGCTCTTGTTCAGTTGTTTTCGTTAATATATGGAAGGTTAGCATTGTCACAACACGTTCCCTAGCACCATCTCCAAGATTTAAAACAGAACATCGAGATGAAAAAGTATTTATGGAAGTATTACTCCAAGTCGCCCAACTTCCAGTATTTTAACTTTAAGGTGACAGTGTAAGGTGACCATGGCATGGACTTCAAGAATCTTTTGGTCAGCGCAAATACTCTAAACATTCACTTTTCACGGCTGAGCATTTTTTTTTACAAAATCTAATGGCTGACAAGGACATGTGCTCAAAAGTGTCCAAAAAACGATGCATAGAACACGAGGATGTTTTCGATAGATAGCCGTCAACGTCAGAGGCGAGCAAAACACTAACGGAGAAGCCTCCAACTGACGTCAGTAACGGCACAGCAGGTGGGATGCCGGCCTTACGACGCCATTAGTTGACTGCAGAGTGAACAGCTGTTGGAAACGGTACAAATTTGTAGAATCGATGGACGACTGTTACTAATAAGGATGATTTGGAGTAGAAGGTTGCTCACTGCTTCCTTTATCACATGAGTGTACTACACACATCTCACTTTCTGATAGTTCTTAAAGGGTCTTTATACGAAGGAATAATAAATTATGTGAAGAAGTTAAACGTCATCACATTTCGTTAGAGACCCAATGAACGTATGAAATGATGGATGGAGAGCAAAAATATGGGTCAGCAGGAGGGAATTAAATAGGCGATATTGCAAATCCATAAAAGCATGCTTTATTTCCTCTGTGAATGGCCTAATACTGTTGGTTGATGAGGTTTCCTTAAGTGCTGAGAAATCGGTGATGAAAAACAGCGAACGCGATAGGATGTGGGACGACCAGGACCTGAACGAACACGGCCCGACTCAGTCTGGGCATAGAGGGCTGAGCGCACGGCTTCGAAGCCGAAGTCTGGTGATAGAGTGTGCTCGAGCGGACCACGTGCGTCGTGACGATAGTGCTTGCTCTAACGGATACCCAGGCATTCTGGCACGAGCAGTGCAGTGAGGGAGAGGCGCAGGCGCCGACGTGTGGGCGGGCGACGTACTCATTCCGATGTGCACAGCATAAAACATCTCGGCGATCGGCGATTACCGTGTGACAAATAACGGTGGGCATACTATCTAGACTGTAGTAAAACCAGAAGAGGACCACTACCGACCGAATAGGTGTGTGATGAGAAACCGACGCCTAACTGTGAAAACCAAGAACTATTGAATTGTGAACTCGATTTTAGCAACGGACGATGTTTTCGATCTCACGTGTCTCATGATTTATTTCGTAGAAGAATTACCATCAATACAGTCGTCAGAATAATTAGAATTTTTCAGAGAATTGCTCCAAGACAGAAAAGCATTGAAGAGCGACGACACCATTCATGGATACAATGGTGCGCCGTGGGTGTAGAATATAAACATCGTTTTTAGGGACAGATTTCGATACAGAGCGAAAAAAAAACAAAAATGGGGAGTGGAAGGAAAGAAATAGTGGTGAAGAATATCGTGGAATTTTATCACAGAAATTTTCGTTCAATCTTAGACAAAATGAAACTGGCAACTTGTAGACAGAGAAACTCTTAAAATTCATGTCAGCTACAGCGGAAAAAACACGATGGAGTTCACCTCTGTTACGGAGACAATACACAATTGCCTTATGTTCTGTGGTTCTAAATGTGTACATCTAATTGCGGAGACAAAGATAGGATTTTCTTCATTTTTTTAGGGAGCGGATAGCACAATGGTAGTGATGTTCGTCATCATGAGCATGGTGATAGTTCGATTCCGCACCGGGCCAACCAAGCCTCTCATCACTCCCAGGTGGAGAAACTGGCATCAGACTTGCTTGGGAAAAAAATCACTGTTTGCAATTCAAATGGTAACGCTCCAGCTGGGCTATTTCAGGACTCCAGGGAGGATTCCTCGCCCAGCATTCTACGACATTCAAGACGAAATGGAAATCCTCAAGCATCAACCGAAGCAACACGTAAAGCTGGAAGATCTTCGCACACAATGGATGCGAGAAAACGAATCGAATATGAGAAGTGTTGGAATCCGCACACTAAACGTGAAGATGGATCAAATACAATAAAATTAAAAATTAAATTAAAAAATTAAATTAAATTAAAAAAAAATTAAATTAAAATTAAAAAATGTCTTTTTTTACATAACCCAACAATACATGTTGCGCGGATCACAAGCCTTCATTAATTTTGTTCGTTTCTTTGCATTCATCATTTCCGGATGTGTCACTGAATCCGCACGAAATCTTGGAATAGATGTGTTAATCCGTTACTAGATCTTGACTATAGGCAACCGGCAACTTTTGTGCATCAGAGGGAGCTTTCACCATTGCTTTTCGGTGCTATTATGGATGGAAAACTTCATTAACCCAGTTCGGAGTGTTACCGGTGATTTTGTATATGTTACTCAACAAACATAACGCGCGTGTGGCGCAGTGGTCGGAGGCACCCTTCAACACACACGTGGAATCGATCCCCACGCCCATGACCCACCAGGGCTTCCGTCCCTCCAGACTCGGTAAATTAGTACCAGACTTGTCCGGGAGGATAGCATCACTGGCTCGATACATCGGTAGGCAACCGCGAGTCATTGTAAAGGCCAGATATGCATTCAATCACCTCTAAACGGTGCTTAATGAAGTCGAATGCATGGCGCATCCCTCAGGGATTGATCAACGCCGAGAGCTTTATCCTTTATCCTTATACTCAATGGACCGCCTATAATCGCTGCACTTTATTGCACCCCATAAATATAGAATATAAAAATATGTAAATGTTAGTTGAAATCGCATCACTAGAACTGTAAGAGATTTGATTTGGTAACACCGATAGTATTACTTTTATTCGCAAACAGTTAACTTTTAAAAAGTAAAAATATTTGGTCAATCACTCACTGGTGTCCTTCGACTGCGTTACTGTAAGAAATGAAATAGCCAACAAATAGAAGTAAAAAAAAGACAACAAATAATATTTTATTGGCAATGAGCAGGGTCTGTGGTCTTCAATTTGAGTAACTACGGTATCTCATGACACGACACGCCGTATGGACCGCAGCGTGTCCGAACTGCTTTACTGAACAAAAAACTACATGCGAAAGCAGTTCTCCTAATTTTCTACCGTAGTACTTGCACATACAAAACTGATAAGCAGCGTTACACTGCATAAAACAATTCACACAGGATTCCTATACACGATGTCCCAGAAGCAAGTTTGAGCCCACTACCTATATCACCTTCAGGTATGAATTCGACAGTTTATTCATGAAGATGTGCTCTCCAGAACGACGTATCAAACAACAGCAAACAAGGCGCGTACCAAGAATAGCGACCAGAGTTTGTTTAATCATGTGACCACGTCGTTGTTCTGATAAGATATCAGCTACGAGCATGCGACCAGTCAGTAGTAATTGTGTGCTGGCCACCCACATGTGACAATTGTTTGTCCTGTACGCACATTCTGCACAACACACGCTTCTGACCCAAAGAACGTCCACCTTGATCAGTAGGGTTTCAGAGTACATGCTTTCCTCTGCTCACATATTTACTTCCGTCATGCCAATACTCGTTTCTTTGGCACTTTCGCATTCCTGCAGAAATCTACTTCGAACAGATAAATCACATCGCAATGCACAGCCCTCCAATAGTTTATGTCCCTACCATAGGGTGATGAGGTTCCTCCTGACGGTGAGACAAAGGATCAATCCATCTCATGGCAGATATCCAAGCTTAAATGGCGTCTGAACGAAGTCCGGCTACGAGTGAACCTAGGCTACATCAGACCCTGTTGCACCAACTGTGGTTACTAGCTCGCCGAAGACAGTAAGAATGAAGG